CCAGCCATAATACGTGGGGAAATCCTCCCCTTCAGTTCAGTTCCTACACACTGGGCCAGAACAGGTCCTGAAAACATGAGGTGAAGATGGGGAATGCGCTCTGGTTGTATTTCCAAAATCTTCCATATATAGACCTAAAAGCTGTAACCGAATGCTACACTATTAAATTCATCCCAGAGTTCCCTGGGAGTATTAGAAGATAACAATCACCAAATTTGTGGGTAAAGAGACTGTAAAATATGCTGAAAAATATCTCAGATATCTTGTAGTCTAACATATCTTGATTTTGGAATCCTCAAGAGCAAGACCTTGTTCCTTTATTATTATTTAGATTTTGGAGAGGCAGAGATCCCATTACAAGGTTATACATATGTCAAACTCAATGAACGCTTGTGCAAGGTGGGAAGATCATCATTTATTGGTCTATAAGCCTTGTCTCTGTTATATGGGGTTACCTTTGTCCATGAATTCTGTGAAGCAATCATTCAATAGCATGTTCTAACCTTGTATTGATGGTAACAGTAGCCAGCATAAAGTGGGCAGTTTCTAACCAGGCAATGAGTAACCACTTTACATGGATCATATTCCCACAACAAGTCACTCACCAACGTAATACAACTAGTAAATAGTGATGCCAGGATTCAGCCTAGAGAATCTTGGGCTTATTTTGTGCTCTTAGTACATTTTTGGTCTCTAAATATGACAAAAGAATTTATAATATTTCCCATACTCTCTTACTCTGGTAACCTTCTGCAGTCCTTTTTCCTTGGCCAGAATTTATACCCTTATCCAATAAAATAGGTTGTGGATGCCACAGTCAGAGGTACTTGAAACACCTGTGTGCATGAGTGCACACACACACACACACGCACGCACAAGTTATAGCACATGAGGCACAATGAGAACAAAGAGAGAATGCACTAAAACAATTGCCACAACTGTACATTGTCTTCTGTCAAAGGAAATCAACCAAGTCAAGGGTATTTGCAAAAGCACAGCAAAGCCATGTGTTTACCAACACTTGGGAAAACTGAAGTTTAAACCCAAGGCCAGACACTAAATATTATTATGTAAGGCACCAGTTCTGTGTCAAGTCCTTGCAAGGCTTAACAGCCAAATTAGCAATAAATTCTGACAGCCCCATCTATCAGCTCTGTTCAGCCAATCCGATGGCAACATTGTGTTTCTTTGCAGGCCCAGGGAACATACGCTTGCAAAGGAAAAAAAATGCACTTGATTAAATTTGGTTTTGAATAATTGGTTCATTGAAATTCTTGAGCTGAAGAAAAGTGGCATTTCTAATTTATAGAAATCACAATTTGAAATATAGTTATGATGCTCAGAGAACCTCTAGAACTAAATAAATTTAAGTCAGCACATTTAAGAAAGCCATTAAGAGGTACCTAATGACAGTACCACCAATTGTCTCTCCAACAGAGCCCATGTGGAACCCTGCCAAAAGCTAGCTCCCTTGTTCTCCTGGCTGAGGTTGTGTGTGGCTTGATGCTTGAGAGCTCAGCTTCAGTGTATCAAGGCCTTTCACATCCGCCTAGCAAGCCTAGGAACCTGATGGGGCCTGACATCATTTGGCTGTGGCCCAAATCTCAACTTGAATTGTATGTCCCAGAATTCCCACGTGTTGTGGGAGGGACTCAGGGAGAGGTAATTGAATCATGGGGGGCTGGTCTTTCCCATGCTATTCTCCTGATAGTGAATAAGTCTCATGAGATCCAATGGGTTTATCAGGGGTTTCTGCTTTTGTTTCTCTCTCATTTTCTCCAGCTGCCACCATGTAAAAAGTGCCTTTTGCCTCCCGCCATGATTCTGAGGCCTCCCCAGCCATGTGGAACTGTAAGCCCAATTAAACTTCTTTTTCTTCCCAGTCTTGGGTATGTCTTGATCAACAGCATGAAAATGGACTAATACAGAGCCTAAGAAGGAGATGGGCAGCACATTCTGGACAGGAAAGGAGAGAAGGAAAAACAGCTTCCATTAGCAACTCCAACGCTTCTTTTGGAGGATTCTTTCATAGATGCATACTGCCTGCTTGCAAATATCCCCACTAACCTGCACTGGGTATGCTGGGCACTCAGTTATCCTAGCATCTCAGAGAGGCAGGAAAGACTACTCCAGACCTGTCTGACCGTTGCAAGGCAAGGTGGAATGTTATGTGTGATATCTGAGTGAGAAAGGAGAATCTACACTTCTCCTCCAGCCTTGTTTCACGGGCTCATTAGTGTGGTTTAGATTTTGTAATATCTCTTAATTATTACATGCAAACTCAAACAAGCAGTGTGGGAAAGAAAAGATCTCCAGGTCACTTTAGTAACCTAGGCCCCAGCAGATGAGTCAGTGAGTCAGCCAGGATCCCTGAATGATGGGAGTAAACTTTTGACCTCAAGAAGCTTTCTGTGATCTGGTGATTACCACAGCAGAGCCCAATCCTAGAAATCCATCAGCTTTGAAAAAACAATAAACTCTGGTGACCTGGTTTGGCCCAACTTCACTGCTATGATAAAAAGTATGACTCCTGTCTTTTGATACACCATGGCCCATTTTCAAAATTGCTTCTGAGAAAGTAAATGAGACCCTAGTTTGAAAGAAATGAGGCCAGACTGAAAGATGTCCTTCCCTAAGCATTTTGGCAAGCATGGAAATGACATCTGTGGGCTCATCACTCCCAGGCCCCTATCCATTTCACTCAAATAGGTCCCCACTCACCACTTTTAGTAACACCCACTGGACACAAACTAGGATATGGGTAGAACTGGGATACAGGCAGAATTTGCCCTTGGCATCACTGTGGCAGACATAGAAAGGCATGGTCCAGGTCCCCTTCAAGGAAGGCCTTGCTTCCCTGCTTAGGGAGTATTGCCAGCAGGCAGCCTCCAGCTGTTAACCTCTGCAGGACCACCTTAGCTGCAGAGAGCTGGCTCACAGAGGTCATGCCCTTCCCAGGATAGCTTTATCCAGTGGTTGGGCAAAGTGGGGCTAGACAGGTCTTGCCATTCAGCCTGTAGCAGGACACTATGCAGGGCAATGCTCACTGCAGCACTCCCTGCCAACCTGGCCATGAGTTTCTTGGGCCTGCATCACAGTTTAACTTCTTTCTCTGTCCAATTTTGCTTGCTGTTCCCCTTTGCATGTGTTGAAACCCAATAAATGTCTTGCATCTCAAACTCCATTTTAGCATCTGCTTCTTGAGAACTCAATCTGTGACAATCACCCTTTTCTGTTCTGTGACATTAACTCCTCTTAATTGCATCCCCTTTAGCCCAACACCCCAAAATAAGTTGATAAAAAATACTTAATTGGTTGGAAGTTTCTGGTCTTACTTTTACATATTGTTCAAAGCATGATGTAGTAAAATTAACACAGGCTTTGGAAACAGAGCTCTGGGTTCAAATCCCAGCTCTGTGTTATCTGGGTCTTGTACTTAATCCCTGTGAGCCTAAGTTTTCTCCTCCATCAAATGGAGATATCACCATCTACTTAGTAGGTTTGTTGCAAGAATTAAATGTAGCCACATATACAACACACCTAAACAACGCCTCGTACACAGTAGGTGTCTAGTAGTTGGTTATATATTGTTATGGGTCCTTTGGCACTTCACATATACTCTCCTTGTATTCTAATTTAACTTTTTGAGTATTTCTTTCTTGCTTCTTCTATGAAACTCTGAATTCCTGGAGAGCAAGAAATGTGCTATTTACTTAATCTGGATTTTCTATATAATGCTCTGATGGTTAATACTGAGTGTCAAATTGATTGGATCGAAGGATGCAATGTTGATCCTGGGTTTGTCTGTGAGGGTGTTGCCAAAGGAGATTAACATTTGAGTCAGTGGGCTGGAGAAGGCAAACTCACCCTTAATCAGGTGGGCACCATCTAATCAGCCACCAATGAATATAAAGCAGGCAGAAAAGCGTGAAACAATGATGGGCCTAGCCTCCCAGCCTACATCTGTCTCCCATGCTTGATGCTTCCTGCCTTTGAACATTGGCCTCCAAGTTCTTCAGTTTTGGGCCTCAGACTGACTCTCCTTGCTCCTCAACTTGCAGACAGCCTGTTGTGGGACACTGTGATTGTATAAGTTAATACTTAATAAACTCCCCTTTATATATATCCTATTACCTCTGTCCCTCTAAGAGAACCCTGACAAATACAGATGCCAAAAAGGATTGATGTTGTACATGATATAAAATTTTTGTCAATTAAAAAATACTGAGAAAAGAAGGAATAACTTGAAATATATCAAAGGTGTCTTCAATATAGTAACCAAGTTGAAACTGGGTTCTTGGTCTGTCATAGTTACAATAGCAAGCCTAATACCTACTAGTACATACATAAAGGCATCAAAGTAGATTTTGCCTTCTATTCACCACTGCAAGACCAGATATATAATAGTTAATAATGGACAGAAGATATATGACTGGCACCTGAAGAGAAATTGCAGAAATGATTAAGAAACCTAAGTAGACATTGCATGAGTAGACTCATGTCTATTCCATCCCACATGATCAGTCAAATTTAATCACCCTATTTAATCCTGTGGGGGCTCAGTTGGTCCAGCGAGGAGCACAGGTCTTTGTTTGGCCCAAACAGACTGAAGAAGAGGAACTATATTATGTAGTTGGCTAGGAGATTTTTCTTCTCTCTCACATTGGATGTGGAAAGCATGACACTTCAATTTACATAAAGTCTCCAGGAGAACCAGTGAAAAGATGAAGCTGATGCAGAAGATCACAGAGCAGAGATACAAAAGCTCCTGGGTTCCTGTGACATTGCTGAGCTGCTGAATCACTGAAATATAAAGCCTGCACTATCTCTCATCTTCCTGTTATGTAAGAGAATAAATGTCCTTTAGGCCATTTCAGTCTAGGATTCTATTACTTTGAATATGCAGCAGAAAGCATCCTGAGAGGTAAGGCAAATATTCAATATACAATCACAACTATCCAGGGTACCTTTTATGCTTAGAGTCATATCAGAATTGTAACTTTTTTTTTTTTTTTTTTAGCAGAAAGAGGCCACCTAATCTGAACTCATTTATGGATTAGGAAACTGAAGTTCAGAAAGGCTGAATGAGTTGCCTCAGAAGGCAGAACTCATAAATAGCAGAGTCAGGACTTGACATCCCCAACTTAGGCATTAATCTGTTCATCCAACAGCATTTATGGGTATCTACTATGTGCCAGGCACTGTGCTCTTTTGTCAGCATCACCCCAGTTCCCAAAACATATCATGGAAATGAACTCTTACTACAATATTTGCAACTGGAGCCAATGAACAATAATAAATGTTTCACAAGACCCTGTTAAGACAGAAGCACTTATGGAATGCCATAGATATTCTTCACCAACCAGGAAATAAGAGTCACCTAAAGAAGAGATGGGAGGAATGTCAAGCTGATTGGAGAGATTTATCAGAATTTTTTTTAAAAATTCCATTACACCCAGAGAAGAGAGGTATTTAACAAGACTACCTGGGCTCATTCACTTTTTTCCTAGCTATAAAACTACAAAGTGTATTCCTGTAAAAATTACATTAAAAGTGAAAGATAAGGAAAATAAATGCCATTTTACTTAAGGCATATGTACTTGAGCTCAAGTCAGGAGTGCCACAGTCCATCAACTCAACTGAAAAGAACTTAGGAAGGTACAAGATGAAGTAAAAACAGGTACCAGTTTTTCAGCAATAACATCAGCAAAGGCTGACACAGAGTCTTGTCAGTTTTGTTAGCATAAAGCATGGCATTTGGAAGGCAGAAGTGCCTCACCAGAACAGGAAGCAGCCAAACCCATTGTGACTTCAGCTCCATCAGAAGAATCTTGGTGCTTTGAGCAAGGCCATTTCTACCACGTGAGCATGTGAGAGCCAAGTTGGTTAATACTGAAGTGGGTAGGTCAGTCATAGTGCTTGCTACACTCACAGCCTGTTTTGAGAAAAGCAGTTCTTTGAGTTGGGAAGGCCATCTTCTGTATACTTGAATAGCTTCACTCCAGCCAGAACTCTGTACGCTTGACCCAAGGTCAGCCAACTCAAAGACTGGCCATCAATCCATGGAGGTAACTGAACATGGCTTTTGAAAAACGTAGACTCCTAACCTCTACCCCAGAACCACCAGATCAGATTATCTGGGAGTAGATTCCCAAACTTACTCTTCAACAAGGTGATTATCATGCACAAAGCTAAAGTTTTAAAAATATTGATCTTATTCAGACTGTTTATTTTTACAGATGAAGAAACGGAGGCACAGAGAGGTCACAAAAAGAAAACTACTTGCTTTCCATGTATATTCACCTTTTCTACCAGAGATACTGCCACTGAACTGCTGGCTTTCCTTGACTGATGGTTTCATTAGCAGTGTCTGAGTACTTACCTTCTGCTTGCCATGTATTTCTCTTCCTGTGTTTACATTTTGCATTCATTCATTCACTATGTAGTTGGCTAGGACACTTATTGAGTATCCATTATGGACCAAGTCCTTTCCTAGGTCCAGGGAAACAGAAGGAAACAGAATCCCAAAATCTCTGATCAAGAAATTATGTGTTTCCTCCACAAATAAAATTATAAACAAGATTTATTTCTATTTATATCACCCTTCATTCTAAATACCCAGGTGCTTATGATATCCTTACCTAGCAGTCTTTCAATAAGAATTATTGATGGAACAGATCCACTGTCCCACCGAATCTCATCCCCCACAATAATAAAAAACTAAATCTTCCTTGTGTCCTCACTTAGAAATAGAAAGAAATATGTCTTCTTACAATGAGGTATTTGCTAACGCAGCCAGATTTTAAACTGTTCACCCAGAGCTAAGACCATCTAGAGTTCTAACAGAGCAATGGTCATTAAACATCTAATAACCACCCATGCACAAAGAAGACCATTAGCTGTGCAAACTGGCATGTATCCAACAAAGATGATCTGGGCACAGTCCCTGTTGCTTTCATTTGAAATGTTTCTCTCTTTTATTGCCTGAAGATTATGACAAAATGCCTCTAACAGTGCAAAAGGGCCATGATTTTTATTAAAATTGAGCACATAAAGAGACCAAAAAGAAAAAAAAGAAAGTACCTGCCAATGGAGACAAAGAATAGGCCACAGAAAAAGCTAGATATGAGGGAGAGGACATTGGGAGAGGCACTTACAGGGCTGGGATGCTGGAGTAGAAACTAGCTGTGACTCATGTGGAAGGTTCTGAACATAGGAATAGTCGACAAGATCACCATTAGTTTTCTCATGGTTTGAAGGGGCAGGGGTCATGGAACAGAGACAGGGAGTGGATCTGCCCAGACCTTCTATTCGCCGCTTACTGGACCTCATTATTAGAGGAGGGGTAAGGGGCATAGCATGAAAAGTACCAAAGAGGAAAGAAAGTGGCAGGGAAGAGAAAAGTGTTAGAAGGAAAAATACAGCCTGGTCCCTTGCTTCATTTCAGAGGAAGCACAGGAAATTTAAATTGTCAAAGCAAGAAATAAAAATAATACTAATACCTACAATCCTTAAATACAGCACTTTCTATATTGTGAAGTATTTCAGAGCCATTTTCTCCTTGACACTACCTCTTCACTCCATTTCTCCTCAGCTGCTGCTTATAGTCTCTGGGTGCTGAAGTCTCTTGATGTGAACAGAGTGGAGAACACTTTGGTCCTTACCTATCACCTCTACTTCTTTTGCTTCCTAGGAACAGAGGCCACAAAAGAGCTGTAAGAGCAGAGTAAAGCAGGCTCTTCCTAGTAATCTGTAGTTTTGCAGATAAAGAATACTCTCCTCACCACGTGTGCAGTGGATCCTGACACCAGAGCTTCAAAGAGATAATCCTACAAATGATCCCAGGAAATCTGTCACATCACTGGCAAAATCAGCACACCAGAGTAATTCTACATTTAGGGAGGGAGCGCCTCTCAATGTGACACAATAAATGAGAAAGGCACCATCAATAAATAACCAAGGAACAAAGGAAACCTGAATCAAAATGAGAGTCAGGCTGCTCAAGATCAGTGAACTATGAAGCCAAGTATTTAAATGTTTAAAGATATAATGAAATTTCCCTTTCAATCTACAGTCTCACATGGCCAAGAACATCACAGAAGTCCTTAATAATAGTAGCTAGGCTTTGCTTGAAAGCTGGGTCCCCTACTTTGTAGTAATAGAGATGTTACTGGTACATGTCACATCTTCCTCACACAGAGGAGCTTGCAACCCACTATTCTCCTGCCACCATTAAAATGATAGATTGCTAGGCTTTTGTAATTGTCATAAAATTCCATGCCTGAAACAGGGATGCTGTCTTCCTATTTTCCCACTTACTCTATTTTAAGTGACCTTATTAATGATATTTCTCTACTTGAAATAATTGGATAATCTAAAACTGAGAAATAAGCACTTTCCTTTCCTCATCATTTTTTCTTCTTTCTCTCTCAGAGCCCCAGGAGATCACAAATATTTGGCCTTAGGGCAATATCAGTAGTTAATGATTCATGTTCAAAGGCTCAAAGTTGTCTAATTAACAAAAGGCAATGTTTTACAGAGGCCATTTTTGCTTTCAAGTTAATAGCACACCGTACATACAAAGGGTGGATTGTTATCGAGGTCTTCAAGCTCGCGGTCTGCTACTAATTCAAAACGTTCTAATTTCACTTTTTTTCTGACCCAAACTTCAAGTCATTAAAAATTAATTATTTTCATTTGTTTCATTCTGATTTATCGGTGCCTTTATAGTACAGTTCACACATCACATCCTCCTATAATGTGCTTATAAAAATTATGTTTTGGTTTTTATTAAAATATGCACTTGATTAATGAAAATATTTTTAGCATATTTTCTGTGAATTGTATTCTTAATAGCATCAGTCATTAACAAAATCAGAATCTTTAAAATAGTCTAATCATCTTCTTAATGTAAATGGCGGCCTGTGCTAAGTATTTCCTAGTAGCAGAAATTTGGTAAGATTTCTGGTACTCTATCACTATAACATCATGAATTTTTATAGAGAGTGACTGATGTTAAATATTGACATTTCCAAAATTATAGTATGTATGCGTGTTTCTGATGCCAACGGCTTTGATATCAGCACAAAATCCAACACATCAGATAAGACTTCTGTAGATTCATCAGGATCTTGGATCTCAAAATAAAGTTGATTCTAAGGAAGTAAATGCTTTTTCCTCTACAATGCCTGGATACTTCGCACATCCATTTATTATAATTGCTTACTTTCTTGTCTGTGTCCATACTAGCAAGCAGAGAGTGTATCATTACACCTTTGCAGTATAACACAGTGGTTAAGAAAATAAACTCTCAACTGAAGACTGTCTTGGTTTGAATTTCGGCTCCATGCTTCCTAATTTATGTAACTTGGACAAGGTACTTGAACTCTAAGTGCAGCTTTCTTATCTGTAAAATGAACATAATGGTAATCCATTTTTCTCACAAATCTGATGGGAACAATAAAAGAGATGTATTCAGAGTGGCTTATATTTTGTTAATACTCATCAAATGTTAGCTATTGTTATTTGCATTTTTAGTATCCACAAACCAGGGATGAGTATATGGTAACTACTCAGTGATAATTAAAAGAGTAAATAGATGAGTTAATAAGACAAACACTAATATTCATATTTATACATGAGTAAAACCAGCCTCCAAAAAGAAAACAAAAATCGTTCCCAATTTCAGTCAAGTAGTAGGTGACAGAATCATTTTTCAAACCTGGGTCTCTCTACGGCCAAACTACAGAAGAAGGCTTGCTGTCTCCCAGAGGTCCCTGAGCTTCCTATTGGTTAGACAACACCTAAATTTCAAAAATGAACCAAGTGATTTTTTTGTTTTAGGAATAATTTAAAAGTTATTGGGCAGAAATGTCATGAACTTCCCCCTCCTATCACTGCCAATTAATATACTAAAGAGCAATAGCTATGAAATTGGAACTTTGTTCCCAAATACTCTCCAGAACACAGAAAAATGGGGGTGGGGGGGCCGGGGCAGATGATATTCTGACAGTTAACTTTCCACTTAAGTCTCTGCTGCTCTCAATCTTTGTCAAAATGGGTTTCTTATAATTAAGAATCATGGTTTTCAAAGAAGACAAGTAGCAACTCAATAGCTCAAAACTTACTGAAAAATGCCATGGCATATTGAAGTGCCACACACTTGAGCATTCACACCCATCTCTCCAATCCCAACGGCTTTGCTCAGTGAAGAGGGCAAGGAAGCCATCTATGCAAGGATGCTTTAAGTAGGTGTTCTCATTCTTCAATGATAATTACTTGAGTTACCACGTTTTACCACTGCTATGAAGCAAAGGATATTTTATGAGAAGGAAGTGAGTTCATTTCTTAACTCTAGGTAGGTGAAATCTCTTATATTTGTTCATCTAGTAGAAGTTATTACTAAGATTGATGATCTTAATATACAGACTGTAAGGAAGATCTAGTTTTCACCCCGAAAGCCTTGCTGCTTTACCACCTTAATAGACACATGATTTTCTTCATACTCTCTCAGGCAAGAAAGGAGACTACAACCTACATGTTAGTTTTTAATTGTACCTGATCTATCTACATTTTACAAGACTTCATTCTCAAAATACATGCTTATAACACTTATTTTTTCCTTTCATACTTAGTATTCATCAAAGAGAATTGCATTTTACTCTGCCAGAGCTAAAAAAGATGATCTAATTAAAAATATTAAAGAATGAGCCATTAAAGAGTTGTCTGAAAAAATGTAATGCATGCAGTTCATGCATGCACTCGTTCAATAAGTAGGCATTGAGCTGCTATAACCCGTGGGGGGCATGTCCTAGAGATAACGAGATCATGGTATTAAACACCTCTATAACCGAAATACTACTATACGACAATGTAGCAACATGGCTAGACATTTGGAGATTAAAAAAATAATTCCAGATCCATCAAATTGTTTTGTTGAAGGCAACAGGCAACAAAAGATGTCTAAACATTCCAATTTCAGAAAACATACTCCCCAAGTACCTTGATCTTACACATTATTCGGAAGCAAAAACAGAACCAAAATTTAGAATCAAGAAGTCATCATATAAAAAACATGGCAAGCATACCAACCTTTCAGTTTCTGTACTCTCTCTATACCTTTCTTCCTGTTAATAATATAATATTCTTACCCCTAAGAAAGCAACCTCACCTCCTCACAGGATTTTTTCTTCAATTAGTCGATCTACTGCATTATTTCCAACAGCACGCAAATATGGTCTATATCACCCACCAAAAAAAAAAAAGAAAGGTGTGTGTATGTGGTGGTTGCAGAGGTGAGGGGATAGATTGCATTATTGTCTTCAAGTATTCACTATTTCTTCATTTCTGCACATTACCATAGGCAGTGAAGTGCCTTACAGAAGGAGTGTACTTCTCTACCCATTGACATTGGGCTTGGCCTGTAACTTGATTTGGTCAATGGAATGTGTGTAAATGTGTAGTATGGCAAATTCAAGCTGAAGATTTGAGACATTGCATGGCATGGTTCTGTCTCTTGCTTCTTCTCTCTTCTATCAAAAGGATGTGCCCCAGACTGGGGGAACTCTGTCAGCTTGTGTCCAGACATAAGACACATGGTACAGGGCATAGCTGACCTCTAGCTACTGTCATGGAATGTGATCAAGAAACAAACCAATTTTGTTTGAAGCTTTTAGTTGATTTTTGTCACTGAAGTATAATCCCATCTAGCTCTATATATCCATGTTTCTCTGCTCTCTAAGCTGCTGTCTCTACTTCTTCTCCTTCTATTCTCCCTCAATCCTCTAAAACCAGGCTTCTTTCCCACCATACTACTCCTTCCCTTTCCACTGAAACCAGTCTCAACAGGGTGTCTTCCATATTTCCAACTCAAATGATCATCTCTCTCTTCATCTCTTTTGACCTCTCAGCAGTATTTATCATTGTTGTCCACTCCCTCCTTCTTAAAATATTCCCTTCTCTTGATTTCTCACGATTTGCCTTCCATCTCACTGACCATTACTTCTCAATCACTTTCGCTAGTTCTCTCTCCTGTTTCAGTCATTGAAGTGTGACTATACCAAGCTTTCCTTTAGTCTTCTTTTCTGTGCCTACATTCTTCAAGCTCTACATTCATCCTCATCTAGACCTCTGTTTTAAATATAATATGTACAACAAGGACTCTCTAGCCCTGACCTCTTAATTCAGCCCAAAACTTATCTGTTCAGCTAACTGCTTGACATCCTTATCTATGTGCCTATAGGCACTTCAGTCTGAACTTGGCCAAAATATGATTGTTGATATTTCCTGTGTAGATCTGTCCCTCCCACAATCTTCCCCATCTCAGCAAGTGGCATCACTATGTACATAGTTGATTAAGCCAAGGACTGAAATCAGGGTGATAGGCTTACAAGCCAAAAATTATCAAAGATTAACAACCAATCACCAAAAACTAGGGAAGAGGCATAGAACAAGTTCTTCCCCACAGCCTTCAGAAGTAAGCAACCCTATTGATACCTTTATCTTCTGGCCTCCAGAACTACGGAAGAACAAATTTCTGTTGTTTAAACCACCTAGTTTGTGGTACTTTGTTTTGGCAGCCCTGAAAATCTAATACAAGCCCCTGTTCTGCCAAGTTGATAGGAGGTTGAATTTCAACCCTTAGGAGTATTTCCACCCTTCCTTCATCATGCTCTGGAGATGTCTTTAGACTCCAGTGTAAAAACCAGGCCAAGCCAGGGGGCTGACCCTAGGGAAGTGAGCCTAGAAAAAAGGATCACCTTTGACCAGCTTACCTAGGGATCCCAGTCTGGACACACCACCATTCTCTTTCCAGAGCCCGCTACCTGGCATGCTGCCAAGCTTTATGGTGCTGGTCTCTGATACACTTGGCACCTATCATGTCATTCTCTGCCCTACTTCTACTTTAGGGAATTTCTCATCTCTCTCCCTCTTCTGCCTCCCCTTTCTCAATAACAGTCACAAAAGGCAATTAGAAAATTTATTTTCAAGCAGCTTCTACTTTAAGTTTGATAAATGCCCTTGACACAAAGAACACAAAAGATCTGGCTACCTTCGGGAAAAAGAGGCCAAGATTTGTGAATATCACATATACAGTGATTCTCATTCTTCCTGTCTGATTCTTTTCTTTCTCATTCTTTCTGTCATTCTGATTATTTCACATCAGCCAAAATAAAACAAACGAATCTCTTAAGAACTTATTTTGTCAAAGCAAGGATGTCTATCTAGGTAAGACTTACCTGATAACAACTTCATGATACACAGTGAATACTTGAAAACAATAATGCAATCATGTACCAAGACCGTCACCCTGTGATGTGCTCATAACCAGGATCTGTCTCATAATCAGCATAGCAACCTAGCCACAATGCAGAAAAATCTTCAAAGGATTCAACAAGCTGCAGAGCAGAAAGAGTTCAAGTTGTTTCTAGAGATCCAGTCACTTCTTCCATCACCACCCATGCTGTTTCTTCTTCCTCACAGCCTTGCTTTTGAAACTGTAGCCAATTTTGAAATTTTAACCAATTAAAAGAGGTCAAATACCATGCCCTACATTAGTAAGCTCTCTCCACTGTTTGGATTCTCTGCTCACAGGAACTCTCTGTTTACTGTACATTTCAAATCCCCTCTGTTTCAGGAAATAAATCTGGTGTCTGATGGTACACTCATTATAGTGTTGTTTCTGAGAATAAGGTCCTCCAAGGTAATTAAATAAGAGCTGGGGAGTTTTCTTATGAAACAAACAGCCCACTGCTGCTTCTGCTGATAAATAACAATTGTCTCAATAAAATGATGTTGTAGGGATGCTGCAAGTTGGGTCCTTGTTGTGCTCATCAGTGAGCTCCTGAATGAGTCTAGATTTCCCCTCTTCACACAGGTACATGGCATTAGAGGTTACAAAGAAAGGGAAGATGTATACATTGTTCTTCTCATAAAGAAAAACATCTATTGGATGGGAGCTTAATGTATGTTTCTTGGTAGTATCACCAGTAAATGCACTATAATGACCAAGAAGGAGGTGGCCAGTTATATTTTATGGTTCTCCTTTTCAATTCTAATAAGGAAACATGTAATACTTACAAAGTATATATTGCATTGTTTCACTGGAAGGTATTTATGAATGGATAAACTGGGTAATGAAAATTACTGGAAACTTGCATATTTTCCCACACAAACTTTTTATAGTAGGTATATGTAATCTGCCTCATCTTGCAGCAATGAGCTGCAGGAAATTTGAATACTATTCCTACTGTGCAGAAATAAAAGGAGGAATAAATTCTGATGATTCTATAATAGCTGGAGCTGAAAAGTCACAGCATTTTCCACTTAAGAGGTCCACATATTAGATCCAAACTGCTCAAGAAGTTTTAAGGTTTTCAAAATCTGTCATCCTCAGAGTTAAGATGAAATGCAACTTCTCTTGGTTTAGAGGTAGTCAGTTAAGGTAACATATCACTGGAAGAATTGGGATTCATGATTTCTAAAGAAGTATTAAAGGCTCTAAAGAGCTTTTAAATTAAAATATCAATAATTATAAAAGGAGTTTTTAATCATCAAGTCCTCTCTAAGGTGTAAAAAATACATTATGGAATGATGAATTTTCATAGTCAACTAAAGATATATTCTGAGATGTTTTCTTCTCTATGGTTGAAGCTTTACACTTAACAAACCAATTAGAATACAAGAAAATATTGAGCTTTTCTGACAACATCAGGAACATTAATAATAAATGTGGATTTCACTTCAGACTATTCTCTTCAAAATAATGGTTTCAGTTATTTGAAACTGTTTGCTACATGAACACAGACTATGTTTACTGCACAGCAATTATCCATAATTAAGCTTTAACTTTTCATATACCTAGATATGAGTCCATTTTCAGTGATATTGATAAGATCTATGATGCATCACTACTTTTGGAAAATGTTGCTGATTCGAAAGATATTAGCACTGCATGCTATCTTTGAAATGATGCAGCACTGAGTAGTACTAATGTAGCTTAACTGTTGGTGAAACTGCCAAAGTATTAGCATGTCTGATGATTCCCTCTATCTCTCAAGTTAATATCCTGCAGAGAGCAGAGCTCATGATCTTCTGTACTAGAGAGACACAACGTCATCCAGAGGGCAAAAACCAGCTTATAAATCCTTATAAATCCTTCCTTCCTTCCCCATTCTACAGATGTATAAATTGAGGCTCAAAACTATTAAGTCATTTCCTGTAGTCACTAATAAGTGGCAGAAACAGGATCAGAATTGAAGTTTGTCTTTCAATGAAAGTATTAAACTATTGCTATTAGACTACTGCAAGCCTCCTCCTGTATTTCATGTCATTTTATGCAATGCTGCAGATGCAGTGGTAATACACATGAGAGGTAAAATTGTAAAGAAGCATATTCATCTTTTCTGTGTCCCCAGGCCACTTTCAGATTCTCCTAGCCTTGATACTTATCTTCCTTTTTGTCTACTTCTCTCTTCCCATCCAATGAATTCTAAGAAACAATATGACACCTGTCATTTATGAATTAGCATGAATTTCCATCAATAGTCCAGATTTTTGAGCTGCAAAGGATGACAGAAACCATTTCTGAACTCAGTCATTTTACAGATGTGGAGACCAAGTCACAGAAAGGTTAAGGGACTTAGCTGAGTTCACAGAGCCAGTGATGTACTTACAAAACAGAAGAAAGAATTCTGTTTCCTGACTCCCAACTCACAGTTCTATTTATTATACCCTCACAAAGGTTTTTTTCTTTTTTTTTTTTAATTTCAGAGGAATGTTCTGACCTCAAAGAAATTTTACACATCAAAGAGTAAAGAGAAAACATACTGAAAAACAGGAGCCCTGCCTGAACCCCTTAAACCATATTTGTTGGTGGCTGCCTACTCTCTTCTTATGTAAGACCAGTTCTGCTAAAGGAAGCCACTGGTGAGCATAGTGAGTACCTCTCTTACCTGAAAGTAGTATGCAGCATATCGTCCCTTCCAGACCTGCTTCCATTTAAAACAGCAAGCACTGCTTCTCTCTGTCCTTCTCCCCCACAGGAATCAATGCAATCATTGTGTTAAGGCCCCATGGGAAGCCACCACTGTGTTAAAAATAAAAATAAAAAACAATAAAATTTCAAATTGATCATTTCTAGTTACTAAAAGAAGAAAATAATAGACTTTCCCTTCCTGATTATGTTCATTACCATAGATTTCAATTTGTCTCAAATTACAAGGAAAAGTAGATTGAAATCTATAGCTGGATCCCCAGGTGTAACATTTCATTTTTTAAAATCAATGTGAAATGGAAGCCATTTTGCAGTAAGTATTTTTGGCTCCAGCTCTAAAGTACTAAGGCTATTATGATGCATTTAGTCATCGAGATAGTTGATCATATTCAGCCTATACTTGTTTTCACTCTCAGTCTTTCTGTCCTGCATAAACATGAGGCTTTGAATGTCAGTGGTTTTTGAGAGCTTCTTCCCTGTCAAAATAGCTGTGTATAGTTTGCTTGGGCTGGGTATTTTTGGTGTTTTTCTGTGTCTGTATCTATAAGCACCAATCAAGGTGGAGGATGAGGCAGATCATCTGGACACTTACAGAAAAAGATGGCTAGAAAACAGGGAAGTTTCAAGGGCCTGACTATTCAGATTGACCAGCCTCATCACTTTAGTTTTATGTTGTAAGTGTTCAGTTTCTGAAACAATATATAGTGTTATATGAAAGTCAGAGCTAGAAGGAACCAAGTAAACAGCTAATTCAACCTCCTTATTTTACAAATGACACCTCTAAGGCCGAGAGAAAGGAAGCAATTCGGCCTATATCATAACCTAACTTGCAGAGCTGAGACTCAGAACTATAAGACTTTCTAACACTGATATTTTAGTTTGGATTTCCCCAAAAGCAGAGTCTGAGAAAAGGGGTTGGGTGCAGGTGGTTTATTTTAGAAGTAATCATAAGAAATGGGAGCAATAAAGCAGGAAGATGAGGCCGGAAAGAAGAGAAAAGTAAATACAACATTGACTTGGTTATCACTATGGGAAACTAAGGCCCAATCCCACTATGGACCCACTAGAACCATACACCACATACATCAGCAATGTGCCTTCACAGGATGGAAGCCCACAACACTTAACCACTCATTCCAGTAGAGGGTTGTTCCCACAGGCCTTAACTTCCCCGAGTTTTCAGGCTATTACTAAGCAAGCCTAGTGACTTTAGAAAAAGCCTAAGGACGGAAAAGCAGAGAGACACAGTTGAGTACTTGAGTTAGGGAACTTTAAGCAACTCTCCATCACAGCTGCAGCTGAAAACAGGTGGAACAAGAGGTTGTATCATAGGCCACAAAGAATCCACTACAAGTGGTTTTTAAACTATGTTGCCTACAACTTTGGGGTTGTTCTGCAAAGAGGCTCCAGGTGGGCTGAGAAAGGACCTAGTGTATTAGGGTTCTCAAGAGAAACAAAACCAATAAGATACTTATATATATATGAGAGGATTATTACAGGAATTGTCTCATGCAACTATGGAGGTTGAGAAGTCCCGCGATAAGTTGTCTGCAACCTGGAGAACCAGGAAACAGTGTGAGAACCTGGGGCGGGGACAGGGGCTGCTGGTGTTGGAGTCTGAAGGCCCAAGAACCTGGAGTTCTGAAGTCCAAGGGCAGGAGAAATATGGATATCCCAGTTCCAGAAAAGATAGTGAACTTGCCTTTCCTCCACCTTTTTGTTCTATCCTGGCCCTTGATTGGATAATGCCTACTCACATTAATGAGGGGGATCATCTTTACTCAATTGACCTGTTCAAATAGTAATATTTTCTGGTAACACACACATCCAGAAATAATGCTTAAATCAGATATCTAGGCATCATATGGCCCAGTCAACTTGATGGATAAAATTAACAATCACAAGTCCCTCCCTTGTCAAGCTGGTACTCATATGTATCTCCTTACACCATACTTATTCTCCAATTAAAGATAATAACAAGATCCTAATTCCACCTAGCAGGATGCAACTATCCTGCAAACAAACAAAAATGAACAAATCCCTTCCCAGAGGATATAAAGTCCATGAGTGATGTTTACTCTTCTCCTGATATCCCATAACTTAAATACTATGAAGAAAATTAACAATACCTAATACTAAACTGTATTAGGTATTGTTATAGTTATACATACTTACATAAGTCAGTAAAGGGAAGAAAACAAAGGTATTTCCTTCATATGTGTATATATACACACAAATTCACTTATAACAAAAATATTCATGATGATTATAGTCCTTGTTTTTCTAACTGGTCATGTGGTTGTAGCTGGTATTTATAACTACCTTCTTCTACTACCAATTCTGTGTTTCCTTTGCCTTCGGTAAACATCTCATCCAGTCTTGGCTCTTTACCTAGCAAGGTGACCCAAACCATCATTCCTGAAGGGTCTAGGCCATTTGTAGTCCTGCCTGGATTGAGTTGTACTTTTTCATTGACCTTAATTAAAGGGTATGGTAATATTAAGATATGCCCTATGGGGTATCCTGTATTCTAGACATATGCTTCTTTACCTCCATTATTGAGCGGTTATCCAATTTCCCTTTGATATCCTGGATCAATCATCCTCGTAGACACACCCAGAAATAATATTTCATCAGCTATCTGGGTATCTTTTAACCTAGTAACATTGTCATATAAAATTAACCATCACACCTCGGAAGAGCCACATGGTAGCATTTTAGAACTTCTACTTCTTCCTCATTCAGGGTAGACCTACATTTATCTGTTTTATATGTTAGAGGTGCTCTTTCAGATATCATTTGTAGGGGGATGGGGGCTTACTTGTGTATTAGTCATGATTCTTTAGTTTTAAGTGCACAAACCAAATTGAACTAGTTTGAGCCAAGAAAAAAGTTCACATAACTGAGAAATCAAGAGCTAATCGGGGACTTCAGGTACAATGGGATTAAGGGTTCACACAAAGTTGTCTGGGCTTTCTCTTATCTATGTGTCAGTCTTATTCTGTCCTACTCCAGGGGCATTTTTTCTGCAAAGAGACAGAAAGTGTCTGTCAATAGCTCCAGGTTATATCACACTAGCTTAGCAATGCCATCAGAAAATGAGAGCGTCTTCCTTCTAGGGTTTATATAATCATAGCAAATGACTCAAATATCCTGCTTAGTTTATCTAACCACGCCCTTGAACCAACTGCCATTAGCTTAGACAGCTATTCTAAAACTTTAGCATGCATCAGTATCACCTCAAAGACTTGTTAAAAAATGCTCACTGTGCCCTACTCCCAGAGTTTCTTATTTGGTAGGTCTGGGATAGCTCCTCAAAATATGTGTTTTTCTGGTGATATTCAAACTGCTGCTCCAGTGACCACACTTTGTTTACCACTGGCTATAGGGATGATACTCATAATCAAATCAAGTCACAGGGCCAGGACAGACTCTAAGGGGGTAGAGTGTGTTTTGGGGAAATAGATTCCATTTCCTAATGGGAAAATTGGCAAATAATCTGTGGCCATCTTTAATCTACTACAGGAGACACGGTGAAAAGGACCAACATAAGTGTAATTGCCTCCTAGAAGGGAAGGGAAAAGAGAACAACGTTCTCATCATCCTTCAATATGTGAAGAAATGATGGCTGAGAATTTTTCAGAAACTACAGAACACCTTAACCCATATATTCAAGAAGTACTACAGCTTCCCAGAACAATCAATACATGAAAAACTCATCTAGGCGCATCTTGGCAAAACTAATTTTAAAAAAGCAAGGGAAAAATCTTAAGCCATGCTAAAGAAAGATAATATTATTTTCAGAGAAAGAACAATAACATTAACAGATTACTTCTCAAAATAAGTAATAGGATCCAAGAAAAACTGGGATGACATATTTGACATGCTACAACAAAGAAACTTACAACATAGAATTTCATTCAGAGAAAATTATTCTTCAAATATTAAAGCAACTTTAAAACATTTTAGATAACGAAAAAATATGGAGGATGGAGATAAATGTGCATTCAGAAGAAAATATTTAGCCTTACAATTCATTTATTTGAAAAGAAGAATGTCTGAACATTAATGATTTAAGATTTATCTCAAGAAATTAGAAAAACAGCCAATAAAACCCAAACAACGTATGAGGAAGGCAACAATAAAGGTAAGAGCAAATATTAATGGAATAAAATAATTCAACAGAAAAATCAATAGCACCAAATAATGATTCTTTATAACAATGAATAACTTTGATAAGCACCTAACAAAGCTGATTAAGAAAAAAGTGATGGCACGAATTTTAAACATCAATAATTAAAAAGGGAACATCAGTAAAGACATCATAGATGTTAAAAAGATAACAGGAACATATTAGGAACAACTCTATGACAATACATTTGAAAGTTTAAATGAAATAGACTAATTTCTAGAATGATGAAACCTACAAAAACCAACACAAAAAGAAACAAAAAGTCTAGATAATTCCCTATTTGTCCAATAATTGAATCCATAGTTTATAAAGCTTCCCACAAGAAAATATCCAGGCTCATGTTGGCCTTTTTGTTGAAATTTTATAAACATTTAATGATGAAACCATGCTAACTTTACACAAATCTTTGTAGATTTTAGAAAAAGAGAGAAAAAATACAAACTTATTTTATCAGAACAACATAACATTGTCCCAAAATCTGACCAAAAAAATTACAAGAAAGGGAAATTACTAGTCAATCTCTGTCAAGAACATAGATGTATGTATATTAGGAAAATATTAAGAAATTGAATCCAGCAATTCACAAAAAGGCTAATGCATCATGACCCAATTGAGTTTCTTCTAGAAATGCAAGATTGGTTTAACTATCAAGATATTAATCCAGGGCCAGTCATGATGCTTCATGTGTATAATCCCAGAACTTTGAGAGTCCAAGGTGGGACGATCACTTAAGGTCAGGAGTTTGAGATCAGCCTCGGCAACATAGCAAGACCTCATCTCTACAAAAATTTTTTAAAAGATCAACCATATGTGATGGTACATGCCCGCAGTCCCAGCTATTCAGAAAGCTGAGGCAGGAGGATAGCTTGAGTCCAGGAGTTTGAGACCGCAGTGAGCTATG